CAGTGGCAGGGCTCGCCTCTATTTACTCGAGCCCATAGTTCGCCCAGCATCTGGTGCGCACTAGCGATGGAGCCAAAGCCGATGGAATTGCTCATCTGGTTGATGCGAAACTCTAGCGTGAGCCTCCCTGCTTTGGTAGTGCTGAAGATGCCTGCCATGAAGAGCGGGAATAGCATGTGCGCCTCCATGCGCGATCCCGGGCGTATGAGTGATAGCACAGACAGGATGTTGTCCACATGTCCTTGCGCCCTGTTCTGAGCTGCATCTAGCTTGGAAGCACTGTAATCAACATCCACAATGTCGCGGAGGCGCAGCATGGTCGCCCATTGGACGGCGAAGGCCGCAGCTCTTACTTCCACCATGTCTTGACGGAGGTCCTCGCCCAGAACGAGTGGGGACCAGCTCTGTAGGGCCATCTCGACTGCCTCCACTTCGGATTTTAACTGGTCCTGGGCCTCCGAACTCCTATCGGAGGAAAGGATGTGATCATTGCTGTGTAGATGAGAGAGATGGTTTACACGCGCCAAAGTCGTATATAGATTGGAGGCGATACCAAATATAGGATGGATCCCGGAAGGACCAGGACTCATTAGCCCGAATTTGCTTTGGTGACATGGCGAGGGTACATTATCCGCTGTGAGGGACGCAATAACACACAGGTAATCATACAAGTCGGTCAAGAAGTCCATTGTGGGCGACTCAGATGCCTCGACTTTACTATTGAGAATGGCCCTGGCACCGTGGAGGTACAAGAGCCATCTCCTGGAATTTCCAGCGCAAATCTATGCTTTGTATTAGCGGAGAGTAACACCAACAGTAGGAGAACGATCCTATGGTCGATCGCCCCGGGTTGATCTTTTATATACCTCAAGCAGACACAGGAACAATGTAGCTGTCAGTGACGCAGCTCGATTCTTCTGGCTCTCTAGCTCTGCTTTAAGACCCCGCAACGCATAACTTCGATGATGAAAGAGGTCCCGTTCAAATTCGGGGTATATTCGCGAAAGGTGGCAAGCCGACAGCGCTGCCAGAGCATGCCTTATCGTTGTGTTCTCGAGAGCCATTGGCACGGTGATACAGATGAAGGGATTCTCGTCATCCTCGACGAGCACCAGTGAGCGGGCCACGGATTGCAGGAAGTGGTTCAATAGGTGCTTTTCGCCCACTTCCCAATCTTGAAGCAATTCAGGCGTGATACCCGCAGATTTCCAAAGGGCAGTAGAAGCAACGGGCATTGGCACACCGCCAGAATCAGCACGGTGCTCTGGACGGACCTCGAGGGCGCTGCTATTAGCGAGGCTTTGCCTGTGCGGCAGCCTTTCAGTCGAGTACTCTTCGTCGACAACCGACAACCAGTCAAAGGTCGCTACGCTAACTCGCTGCCCTGGAGGACTTGCGTTTTTTTCCAAGTGCACTTCAGCAAATTCGTCTTGTAAGCTAGCAGGTGCATTTGGAGGCAATGTAGTTCGTGTACGAGAACCGAGGCTTTCGACTGTGTCAGGCAAGACGCAAGACAACCCCAGCCGGGAGCAGTCTCCGCACTTCGGTCGTCTCTCATCGCACTTTTTTCGACGCCTGCGACAGCTTGCGCAGCCCGTCGACGATTTAATGTGGCGGACGCGAAACCCCTGAGACGGATAGGCAGAGCCGCTACCATTCGCTGTCTTTACACAGTGGCCGGGCCCCGTGATTATCGGTGCCGTCGCGACGAGGCTGCATGTGAGCGAGAGGCGCCGGCAGCGAGCGCAGGGTGCTTCCTTAGAGCAGATGGTCTTGATAGCGGCACATGTTCGACAAGCTATCTGTCTCCGACCCATGGGATGCTCTCACAGTGACAAATATCGGCCAACGTTACGCAACGGGAGCGTCAAGTAGAAAGAGAAACAACTGCACCAGAGGACTCCACCCTTATAAAACTAAAGTATATGCATGACTAGGAGTTTCTCCACTTCCGCCCCTTATGGGATTGGGCTAGGCCAGCCGCCCTCTGTCGTTTCCCACTACGCTCCCTAAGTTAACCCCTAGATAATTGAGATAGCGAAGTGTTGAGCTTAGCGATAACGACGGCCGCCGGTCCAGTGGTGAATTCGGCCTATCAACCGGAGCTTATTACCGCTTAGCACAAAGCTTTCCATGATGTGCATTCATTACCACGGAATGAGAACGACATGAAGTTCAGCATTTCTTGATGGCTAACTATTTGTGAAGATCTTTCTGTCGAATTTCGATTTCTCCATGGTTTTCCGCGCACAATTTACCACTGTACGCATTGTCTTATTTGGAAGATAATGTACACGAGACTCTCTTTTGCTTGAGATGGCTGGCATTGATGCGAACCAAGTACAATGGCACTAGTAACGGCAGAGCTGGTATGACCGTGTTCTCGTAGTTTTGGAAAAGAATTAGCAGGAATCGAAGGATGGGATTGACGAGCATCCTGTAGTGAGGTGACCCAATCTGCGAGGAAATGCGCACCGAAAAACTCGACCCCGGATCCACTCTACACATAACCTAGAACCTCACAAGTGGGCCCTACACCACCATCCTCAAGTAATCCACGATAATGTCGGTTGTATTCCATCCAATCAGATACCAAGGATCAGGTGAGATGGCCGAGTGGTTATGGCGCTGCGTTCAGGCTACCTGAATTGACAATCGCAGTGGAGCAATCCGCGTGGGTTCGAGTCCCACTCTCATCATGAGTTTCTCTTTTTGTGGTTGTTGGCATTGGATTTTTTTTCTCTGTTGCACTTTATATGCAACTTTCCTAAACCCATCGTCCATTGTCCGTCCTACCAACTTTTGATGAGTGACTCTACCACATTGACCTTGTGCCTGGGATGGTATTTTGACCCATGCTCAGCAGTTCTCTCACAAGTTGAGGCCCATTTCGACTTGTCCATCTTCATTAATTTTCGAAATGTCTTTCCAGCCAAGGCTCGAATAGAAGTAATAAGGCGAGTATCGAGCCTTAACGTCCTTCTTGCCATTCGGACCGGTGCTCATGAGACGGATCAATTTTGCCTGAGGGTGATGCTCCCGAATGTGTGCAATGGCAAGCTTCACGGCAGCCTTGCCATACCCGGAGGCTTGATATCTGTGATCAATCATGAATCGCCAGATGGCATACCACTGCTCGGTGTCACAGATGGACATCATTAAGAAACCAACAGGTGTGTCGTCAGCGTATATCGCGCGCACCCAAGCATCCGTGGCGTAATGAGACTCGCAGAGTGAAAGCAGATTCGATGAGACATTGCCCTTCTGTTCTTCTAGAACGGTCAATTCTACCACAGCTCGCCAGTTTGTCTCATTGATTTCGCGTAAAGTAATCGTATTTTCGGTAGTGGCAGCAGAGTTAGGCATCTTTTATATGGACGATCTTTTCCGGCACAAAAGGGAAGATAGTATTATTGAATCATGGGAACATGGGAACAGGGGAATTGCGGAAGTTGTGTTACTCGGTGTTCATGAGCTGAAAATATAGACACAATAGGACTATGGGGTGAGAACTCTAGGGGAAGCAGTATGCAAATATACTCATGATGACTCATTCGGTCTAAATAATAGCTACCATAAGCGAGATTGGCATGTGATACGAGATAGTGTACGCCGAACATCAGCCGCATTTTTGGTATCCCAACCACCATTCGAGAGTTTTCAGGCCATTCCGGAACGGAACAAATAAATAAATTGAGAGGAGCATACCAATATATAGACCTTCATATTGGTAAAATTCGTATCTAACCATTAAGCGTCCGCTTAGCCAGTAAATGGCCGGTTTTACCAACATATTACTAATATTACTAAATATGTATCCTGCCGGGAGTATAACCACTTCACCACCCATGAAGACGTGGAGGAAGACAGAGTCGTCTCCGATGAAGTGCATATGGTCTGCAACTACTCTGTCGCTCTCCACCAACGGCTATCAGGCTGTAATACGTGCTCGTGCTCGTGCTCGCAAGAAATATATATTTCGCCACCAACTTTGACATGCTTGCTGCGCTTGTCTACTGACGCGTCCCCAAGGAGAGATGTAGCATCCCGTACACTAACGCTAACCGAATACTGAATCTCGGGATAAATATTTGGTTGGCCGCTCCGCTCATCAACTCGTTAAGCTGCTTCGGTCATAAATGTTAAGCCGATGTATGTTTCAGTCGGGTTGTGGCAAGGCTCAAAGTTGGAACATTTTTAAGTAATGAACGAACATGATGTATTTTGTGTTGGTATGCAATTCCACTTTTACGAGGAACAGAACCACGTTCAGCCCTTGTTCATCCATTGGCAAAAGTTAAGCTTGACCCACTCAGCAGAAGGAGTCTTAGACAATCTTAAACTTTTGACATCCACAGCCAATCAAATTGGTTATTAATTTCAAAGGGGATGTGGTCTAGTGGTATGACGTTTCCTTAGCATGCTTAAGCATGGAAAAGGTTCTGGGTTCGATTCCCAGCTTCTCCACATTTTTGCCCTCTTTCAACCAACAGACACGTACTGGAGGGTTTTTTTGGGGGTTGGGGGTTGGGGGGGTTTCTTTCTTGCAGTCTCGCGATCAAAGTTGGTTGCTTTTCCTAGAATAATCAACGACATCTCTGTTGTAGACAGTGAGACAAGCCGTATAGATCAGTGCAACACTTTTTTGATGGAGGCGTTACGTTTAACATAAGATTAATGGTTGGCTTTGCGGTAACGGCTTAAGACTACCTGATTTTACCACCCGCTTTCAACTGCACAAGTACTTTTACACTGAGTAAATGGAAAAATAAGATTCCCAGGCTTAGCTACTAGCACTATTTCATCTGCCCACGGATTTATTGGCAACAACACAGGTTGACGTATTGTGTCTCTCTGGGGCGCCTCTAGAATACTGGGGGTCGATTCATTTCGATGCGCTAACTGCGGGGCATAAAGCCAAAAAATGGAAGAAAAAAATGTATTTGAGACTTGCCCGCCATCAAGTTGTGCCCAAGTAAGATGAATGGAAAAAAAGAATGAGGTCAATCTGGGATTCGAACCCAGGTTAGCGGAAGTTCCTGAATGTGAGAAAATCAGAATCCGCTGTGATAACCAGCTACACTAATCGACCGTTATTGATTGGATGGTTCAATCGAGTGGCTATCCATCTTCAAGACGGCGCCAGCTTGGGGTACTAGAATGCAAGATTGAGTGGAGGCATCGTCACTTGGCTAGGTGGGCGCCGAGTTGATCCGGCATAATAAACCTCTCAGTATGTATAGTTCCAATAAAGAAAGAAATATTATTAGGATTTGTATCTCGACTCAGTCATGGTTCCCTGTAGAGGTCGGAGTTTGACATTGTCGACGGGCAGAATATCGGAACAGACAGTATACTTCTTTGTGACACGCAATCGGATGCGGTTAAAGGGCTAGTGGAGAAACTGCCATAGATAGCACTCCTCAAGATGGGCTGATGATGGACACATCTGGCATGTGGATGGATATGCCGACTTTTGGTTTATTCCGGTTTCTGAGCCGAGAACCGGAATGTTGGTTCAGTAACTGCCATATGAACAGCTGTCGTAGATGTAAGAAATACCAAGCGGCCGTACGAAGTACTTCTCCTGCAACGCTTCTCAACAATAGAGTTCCGGTGAGAAAAATGCGCTCGGGAAAGTAAGCGAAACCAACGGGTCCGGTGTCCGGAAATAAGGATCGACTGCAATAGGCGAATTTGACGACGTCGCCTAAATATATCGCATGTTGGAGGCAGCGCAGTGGTGAACACAATGTCGGCGTCTATGTGGACCACGCCAATAAAAGTTGTGTAAATACGAAGAATTGGGTCGCCTAAGAGCTATACCGTGTATACTATGCATAACGAACCTTCCATTCAAGGGTAGCTGGCACCATGGAGCATCAGCATTTATGTGGCTCGGAACTTTGCGCGAGACCCCCCGTCCGTCGAACGAGCCGGCTGTCGGAGTCAAATAGCCGTTACCTAAATTTGTCTTGCCGTGAGGAGAAGAGATCAAAGTAACCCCAGCTCACGGCACCGGCGATCTTCAGAAATTCGGAGCCCATGGGATGGTGGTGAACGACCGCCAGCGCGTTCGTGGGGTAAAAGGGCCGACTGATATAGAAGAGTGAAGCAGCGATACCGTATTAGCTCTACAACAAGCATCGGCGCACTCGCTTACTGAAGGCATTTACTTGCAGATACAGAAGGCCAACCATCCCCCGTACCCACAGGCGAGCTCCTCATCTTTGACAACCTCGATGACGTGTCGTACCCATGCTTCGGCATCTTAAAGCGACATGACTTTCACGGTTTGGGGTAACTAGTGGGGAAATCGTACGCTCATCCCAAGAACCCTGGCAGCCCAGGTCAGCGTGGGGAAATTCCAGTCCCCGCAGATACAGCGGACAGGAAGCAACCACAATGCTGCGTTTTCTGCTCTAGCCCCGATTTTATTTATCGAGAAGTCAGAGAGCGGTGATCAGGTGGTTACGTGAACATGGGAAAGAAATGAATTCCGACCAGGGCGGAGCAACACTAGCCGGACTTCGGCAGAGCAGCACAGTGTAAAGATGGCAATATATAGTCATGCCACTGCGGATATTTGATATTGGCATCAAAGGATCTACTGTTTCCTTCATCCTGTTAGCTTCAAAGCGCACAACCCACAGCTATCATGATCATGGTGCACTTCGCACTTATGCAACTAGCCACAATCCTGGTAGGCGTCACCGGCTTACGGGCGGCAGCAATATCTAGTCGTGGAGACTCAGCAACCGTGACCCAGCGCTCAGCTGTGCTCTACCAGAACAATGGCAACTGGACGGTGAGTTAGCTATTAAGGTTTATAGCTAGGACTGTTGATACCAGCTGCTAATCTTTCTGCAAGGCCCACGCTGAAAACCCGAGTGCAATTTTGTTCTTCGACCCAGTTTCCTTCACCGACGCCCAAGACATTTGTGCCAGTAATGGAGAGTCTTTGATCAACGAATCCGACCTCGAGACGTAGGTAACTTTGCTTCTCATTTCTGGATCACATACCCACGTAGTAGTTTCTAGTTAGGTAGGTTATAGTTCATTGTAGTATAGGACAACTAATAGTGTTACAGCTTCAAGCTTCCGCTGCAATACCAGGCATATCTTGGCAGCATATCTGCGTCAGAAAAATATTGGGTTGCCTCATCTTCGGCGTCAGACTGTCAAGTCAGGCCATTCATCTGCACAAACACTGCTCCCTATGTCGCAGAGGTGCAGGCACCATTCTACAGTTTCCCCAAAGTCGGCGTTCTCAGCAATGGCACTACATACGTTGGTGTTCGCGACCACCTGGCCTATCGCTTCCTCGGCCTCCCGTATGCTCTGCAGCCAGTGGGCGATCTCCGCTTGGCGTATCCGATCGAGTGGTATACCAACGAGACCAACTATGTGTTAAATGCCACGACTTGTGAGTGACTTTTTGGTGGAGAAGTATACATATAGCGTGTTTGCCCCTTGATTGGACCTCTTATTAACACGGATGCGATAATAGATGGACCTACGTGCCCAGCTTCGGGAGGATACTATGACGGAAACACATATGGCCTTAACCCGTGGGGCAACTCAGAGGCTTGGTGAGTGTTAACAGTGCCTAAGCTCTTAGTTCTTAAGCTGGACGGCCGTTTAACTCATTATGATTCAGTCTTTTGATGAATATATTTACACCATACCTGCCTGGATCCCAGAACCCTGACAACAAAACCTTGAAGCCTGTTCTATTTTGGCTCCATGGTGGCGGCGGCACCGCCATGGATGCCACCTTTGACGGCGCAAGCTTGGCTTCTCGCTCCGATGTTGTTCTCGTCAGCATTAATTGGCGCGGCTCAAACTTTGGCTCGCTGTCCTTCAACGACGGCTTCGTGGACGGCAACTACGGTATCGCAGATATCGTCATGGGTTTGCAATTTGTCCGTGACCACATCAAAGCTTTCGGTGGAGATCCGGACAAAGTGACCGTGTTTGGCCAGAGTGCTGGCGGTGAGTCCGCGATGGCGATAGTCAAGTCTCCCAAGGCCAATGGTCTCTTTTGGGCAGCGATCCTCATGAGCGCGGCCATCGGGCCCGCAGTCACCCAGGAGGAGGTCTCTAATGTTACAGGTTCGTATCCTTGGTTCCCATTCTCTTGATAGTGTTATGTCACTAACATCTTCCCCGGTTTCTATAGTGCCCGCCGTAGCCAAAGTGTGTGGAGATGCCGTGGGAGCTGAGCGCCTTGCCTGTCTGAGAGCATTGCCACTAGATGAATTCATGTCCAACATTACTTGGTCTGTAGCTCCAGGATGGAGGAACGTTGACTCCGGCGCAATTATCGATGGCGTTTGGATTGCGAATAATAGCGTTGCAGCTGCCAAAGCAGGTCAGCTCAATCGCATTCATTATATGATGGGATCCATGCCTGAGGAGGGAGAATCGTAAGTCATTATCTTCTCCGCAGCTGTTGATAAAAGAGATATATACAGAAAGAAAACTAAGCACGAGTTTATAGACTCTTGGGCACAAATATATACCCTAACGCTACTGATTTCAACACGACCCTCTACTCGGTCGCTGGTACGAACACCAATTCCAACTCTTACCCAGAAGATTGGCCACCGCTTGTTGAGAGTTCCGGCTTGTGGACGAACGGCTCTGATCCTATTAATGCATGTGAGTACTATCACCACGATCTAGAAACTGAAGATAAGTACTGACATGAAATTGCTTCTTTACCCAGACAATATGACTATAAACGCCTACACCACAGTTCATCTTACCTGTCCTGGCCAGCAGTTTCTTCACGCTGCTTACCAATATAATGCATTTGAATCTATGTACGGTACCTGCATATCCAGTTTGTGAAAGCCACACTAAACAACCCCTCTTTACTTAGCTACTACTACAATAATCTGCGCGCGTACGCACTGTCCTTTTACAACCCATGGGGCCTTTGCAGCTTTCCCGTGGGCGAGCCCAACACCCCTTACTACCGGTGCCACTCAGGCGACCTGTACCAGGTGTTCGGTTCTTATCAGATCTTCGACCTGCCGGTGCGCACGCCCGACGATATTGGCCACAGCAACCTACAGCAAGACCTCTGGGGCGCCTTCGCCCGTACGGGAAATCCAAACCCGGACAAAGACTACCTCGAGGCGCGGGGCTATGCCGGCGCGCTGGCACTCTTCGACCGTGTACAATGGCCTCAATTCAACGGCAGCAGCGGCGCTATCAACCTCGACTACCCGAATCCCTCGATCGGCGCGCTGCCCTGGGCGGATAAGTGCAGCGTTGTTCAGGAGCTATACCAGGTACCGTAAGCCTTTCAGCTGCCACGGTGCTTGTTAGACCAAAAGTTCCTAAAGTACTATAATTAATGATTGCTTGGGTTGAGCACAACCTTTTTTCTCATGATTTTGTCCGAGGTTTAGTTCACGTATAGTAGATAATGTTTACTGGTCCTTCGGAATATACTCGTAGGGTCATGGCATTATTGACCAAAGAATGCCTCACGGTGCGCCTTCCTGTGTATTCTGTGGCTGAGGGCGGAATATTCCGCCATCTCGCATGCTAGCTGCATATAACGTGACTGGGATCAAGTAAGACCAATATGAGGGGCAGGCTGCCAAGGAGAACTGTTTGAACATGTCATCTCTTTCTCCGTCAATGCGATAAACAGGCGTCCACTGCTTGGGATACGGGTAGGCCACATCCAGATAGAATATCGTCCATTTGTACGATCCGATTTTGGTGACAGGCCGGGTTCCTGGGTAACACCGCGGCGCTGTGGAAGCCGCAGCGTTATCGGAACAATGCCAAGTCGAACGGATTGGTTGCTCCCCCCGGCGACCCGTGACGACTTTGAAGTTGCTATTGTATGTGCGCTGGATCTCGAAGCCGCCGCCGTGCTCGCCGCCTGTGACTGTTTGTACCTTGAGGACTACGGACAGGAGTACGGCAAGGCTGATGGGGATCCAAATCAATATACCACGGGCCGTATGGGTAACCACTCCGTAGTAGTGGTAACGCTGGAGCATATGGGCAAGGAGGCAGCCGCCAAGGCTAGCGCAACGCTGCGTATGAGCTTTCGCAGCATTAGTT